GCCTGACAGCCCCCCACCATCAAATAAGGCTCTCACTGTGGTGACGGAATATCCTCCAACTACTACATCTGCTGGCTTTTCATTCTCTTCCAATAGCTCCACATACAAGGGAGTTTTCTCTGGGCCTACCGTGCTAACAGCCAATCCTGCAGTTCTCTCCACAAGCCTTCCTCAAACCATAGGCTCCGTCCAATACACACAACTTCCCCCCAATCTCCAGCTCATAGGACCCTATACAAGTTATATCTCTTCACAAATTGTGCCATCCACAACCAGTCCAACACAGCCACGGAGGATGCCACAAGAGGTTTTGGCCACAACAGCTGTCATCTCCCAAGCATCCAGCCTTGATTCACAGAATCATCATGTGATTTCTTCTATACCAAATGTTTCCCATAGTCAATGCATCCAGGTAGAGAGTGCTCCTTTGGGTTTGGCAGTGTCCTCCCCTTCTGCCCAACTGCCCATCCAAATCCATCCACATTCAGCAGTCCTTGCCCCTCATGCCCTGGCCCTTACCCCCTCTCAAGTGGTTCTACACTACACAGATGGCTTCATTGCAAAGCAACCGGACTCACATCCCAGAGAAATGCAGAATGGTACATTAGGAGAGATTTCAGTGGTCAAGCACAGTACTGCCAAAGGGATTCCTAGCCAGTCAGAAGGTGACCAAAGCCACAAGCAAAACCACAACCTGCGCCTCCAGACCCAAGCTCAGGTTCTGCTTCCAACAGACTACAGCACTCATGAGAGAACAGGACTGCAGACATCGCTGATGTTGGTATCCAGTAGCCACCTTGCAGCAAACAGCAACTCAGAGCTCCAAAGTATCTTGGGTAAGAACCACTCATCTTTGCACCTAGCTGAGAGAGGAGGGATCTGCATAGGCAAACCAATGTCCAGAGTGTCCGCCCTTACGTCCTCAGACAGCCAAGTTTCTCTGGCCTCCACAATCTCCCCGCACACACTCCTGCAGGCTCCTCACAACACTCCCCAACAAGAGCTCTCCACCAGCCTTTACTCTGCAACGCAGCTCCCAATTATTGGCTACATCACCAGTGCTTCTGGTGGACCCCAGCAAGCAGTAACTGGTTATCAAAGCAACCTGCCACAGCACGTGGTGATCTCAGGCAACCCCTCCTTGCTCATTCCAGTGAGTGCCACTAACATCAATCCAACTACTGCTGAGCCGGAGGTCACCCGCTGTTCTGTCATCCCCAGTGTTGCAAATGCATCAACAGCTCTGCCTCAGACCTTTATTAATACATCCCCACCTGCAGCTGCAGCTTCAGTCCTACCCAATGGTAAAGACATCACAGT